CCTTTAACAGTCATGAAGTAGAACAGAGGAGTACTGTGCACTACAGACACTTTTTACTGGATAGACAGATATCCTGCCTATCCCATAAGTGATGCCTGTTGCCAAACGCCAATCTAGCTTTCTCAATCGGTGTCAAGATCTTATCAGGCCACCACGGCTTATGGGATTTTCACGATGAGAAAAGTAGTCAATGCACTCAACGACATCACTCTTTGTCAATAGTATTTAAAGCACTGACACATACCAGTCGTGAGGTAGCAATTGAGGAGACTACTATCGACGGAATATGATAAAAACTGACTGGTTATTGATATTGTTTGACCTTCCCAAGGCCACAACTGTGTGATTCCTGCAAAGTAGTTGGTTCAGTCACTTCATAGTACATCTAATATAGATATTAGCCTATACATACCTTCTTCTAACTTACACAACTAGAATGTTTCCTTTGTAGGTTTCATCATATTAAACAGTTGTTAGTATTTAAAAGAATCTCAAACTTTTCTTAACTGTGGAGAATGCGTGGCGTTGGAAACCGACTCAGTGGTCTATATGTAATGTGATCATCTGAAAGAACTGAATGCCCTGGGTTAGATGGCTGAGTGAAGTTGTGGTGATAAGCGTTGTAGAGAAGTCATAACAGCCAGAACGAGGTAGCTTCCACATAAACGAACACATAATGAAAAGTCTGTTGGTAAATGTGACTTTACAGGTTAGGGTTCGCTAGATTATCGCAACCAGTTGTTGGAGACGTTAAGTGACAAGACATAGAATTGGTCACAATGGTGGATGAGATAATGTTTTGCTTCAAAATAACTTTTTAATCCATGAATTCATCCTTTTTCTGTATTATATCTATGTGTTTCCTACCATCACTGATACCGTTATTACTGTGTAGTGTTTCATTTGCCGACTTTATTCATTCTTATTGACACTTTTTCTTAATTTCAATTTTCACACTTGTGATATTAATAACATCAATATAGTGCCATTTTTTTCAGTTTCAATGACGTAAAATGTAGCAAGTTAAACTAACATTCATTTGTACCATAGCCTACGTTGTCTACACCTGTTTGTATATCGTTAATATTCAAAAATACCATCAGTATTAGACCTGACTGCAAAATGTACTCATTACAAACTTGTTTGTTTTACAAATCAGTTTGAGAACTGATGCCCTGGTACGGCTGAGAGTGGGGAGAGTCCGCTCTCCCTCTCCAAATGCTCTCACATACCCCATGCGTATATAGCCTCTTCCAGAGAAGTCTTACTCACTGCCTTCTCGTGGCATCAATATTGTTTACGATATTGAGAGGACGAAAACTGAATGTCCGGCGCTTTAACCGGGTTGGTGGACATGGAAAGTTCACCTAGCGGAGTTGGAAAACCCTGATTCCGTACCAATGGGGCACATGGGCTAGCTCCAGAATCCTCAAGGAACTAATGGTCTATGAATCAATCGTTGGTCAACGGCTACCATGGGGATGCATATCCTCACGATGCTCCACTGCCTTGTGTATCAGACCTTTAGGTCGAAGGCTCCGGGTGTGGCCCCCTAAGGAATCCACCTGCTTCAGTTTGGGCACCTTGTCAGTATCACAGCCCTCACACAAATCGAATGAGATTTGTGTGGCGCATATGTACCTGGTGCTTCCTTGTACCAATATTTGTGTTTAAATAAATAGAGAACTAATATTAACAGTTGTCGGGACTGAAAACAATGAAAAAAGTTAACATTCATTTAAGCGTCGATTCACTGAAGTTGTTAATCAATACATGATACAATCGGAAGTTTTATCTCAAGAACATCAAATAGCCTTGAAAAACTTAATGCATAGTGAGAATATCGTTATTCTCAAACCTGATAGGAGCTCTGGTGTAGTACTAATAGATAAAAAAAACTGTTAAAGATTTTAAATGGTTATGCTAGGCTACTAGTTGACTGCTCAAAAAAGGGTATGACTAAAGCGTATCACAAAGTTAAAAGGCCTTTTGAAGATGAATTTAATAAATAATCAAACATATAATGAATTGAAACCTCGGGGATCCAGGTTATCTTATTTATATTGACCATTAACTAACCTGACATCCCCTTTAGACCTATCCTATCGATGATCAACTCTTTATCTCACAAACTCGCTGGATGGTTAGTGAATCAATTAAAAATTATTTGTTCAAAGTTATCTGTCCATAGTTTGAAAAACAATTTTCAATTTACTCAGTTGCTAGAAAATGTAAAGATCTTTGATAAATTTATGGTTCCATTTGATAGATCATCACTATTTACCTCAGTCCCACTGAAAGAAACCATACAAATTATATGTCAACATGCTGAACTATTTTCCTTACTGAGGGACGAATTCAAGTAACTATTGCTGATGTGCACTAAAGATGATTAACTTCAAACCAATGATATCCTATGCCGTCAAGTTAATGGAGTGGCCATGAGCAGTCCGCCGGGTCCAATCCTGAGAGATATGTGTTGAACCCAGAACAAACAGTTATGAAATCGACAATTAATGACATGACGTATTTGGACGATACTTTTGTTGCATGTAATGATTCTCAACATGCCTTTCGTATACTGGATCGTTTCCAAAGAGTACACCTCAACATTAGATTTACAATAACATGTTTCACTTTCTAGATATTGGTATTAAAAGTAATTTAAATAGCCTAATAGAAAGATATATTTATCGAAAGGACCCTTGGAGTGGTTTATAATTGAACTTCCATAGCTTCTATCCGATAAGCTACAAAACAGCTTTGGCTAGAACGATATCCAATCACTTACACCTAACGATAGAAATAAGGATGAATTAGCCATGAATGTTGCTTACATGAGAACGGTTATCGCAAAAATTCATCAGTACGGAACGATTAAGAAGAAAGGAATTAAATATCCTACGATTGCCTGTCTTCTTAAAACTTGGCTTCAAAGGTCATGAAATAGCTGGAAGGATTGATTTTAGACTAAAGGCAATACTAAAAAGGATATACTCAGCAAAGAGTTCGGTGTCTCTATGCCAAACCATATGCTCATTCAGACAACCAAATATGGACAAATAGCCGCTTGAAATTATCCCTAATTGCGTTTAACAGTTCACAAGAAGGTACCAAAGCACATACATCAGAACAGAAATGAAGATTTGCACCCGCATCTCCGAATGTATTTCACAAAACGTTTTCAACAGTATAATTGCTCGACAATAGACATGTTGTTGAAGTTGAGAAATTTTTCAAAATAATCAACAAAGCAATTCAAAACTGACACACTTTTCCAAATCTGTTGCAATAAAAAAATTTAAACTGGATTGATTTAACCAAAAAGGAAACAGTTTTGTTCTTTCCTGGTGACCTTATTTTTTGTGATCAATACTTAAAATTTTGTTTTCTATTTTTCCATAAGCTTTATTCAAAATTCTAATATCGTATTCATACTTTAGTGTTATATCCTATCGAAGACATGAATACACGTAACTCCAAGGACATATTATTCTTATTGTATAACTATTCAGTGATTAGATATAATCTATACATATTCATTTTGACCAATAGATTATTATTATACGATTTACTGTTCCTAAATTATATTCAGTTTATTGATTGCGATCTCCCAGGTTCATAGACACATTTGGCTTTATCTTGTACAAATATTATTTTCTATTTTATGGTGTAATGTGGTCCGCCTATCTGTCTAGTATATAAACAGAGTATGTTTGAAATAAATGATTCACATAACAGAAGTTGTAATTGGTGTTCTGGACTCAAGTAGAAGGGCTAGGTGGACCAAGGACCAATAAGGATGCTAGACTGCTAATACCGGTCGAACGTCATTGATTTGGCACAGTGCTAAAATTGGCTGTCCAGTGATTCCAGGTTTTCCATGGTGGTCTAGCTTCAATTGACTTACGCTTTCAACTATGAAAAATACTAAATCTCCACAAAACCCCTTCTGATAGTTTATATTACATAACCTATCTTTTGTCACATGAAATCTTTTTGTTTCCATACGCTTCTAAAATATTCATATATTTAGCCTATAAATAAGAGAACATCCGAGAAATTTTAATTGTTCCGTACTATAATCTCTTAATATTATTCTATCTCCATATATTAAATCAATTTATTCTAGACGTTTCTGTTATAAAAATACGTAAATTTGTTTTTGTTGAATTGATCCTGCAAATTTCTCGCCAAAGACAAGAAAGGCTTAAGAAACATTAAGAAGCATTTTAACCAATCAGTGTTCATTAGAAGTTTTGTTAAAAACATCACGAATGTGAAAAGTCATATATAGAGTTTTTGATTGGTTGATTAATACACTGCTACCATGTTTAGTAGCAATCCAGAGTTTACAGGAAAAAAACCCAAAGACTTCTTAAATACTTTTTAAAAACTCTATATTTTCTGTACATGAATGAACCTTTAGAGTAAAGCGTTTTCTTGCATATTTCTCGTGTTCAAGTTGCTGTGTAGTTTTAGCTTGAGGGTTACGAGACTAGCTAAGGAACCGAGTACAACATCCTATTAGCAAGACTTATCAGTTTTGATGATTAATACTATGGGGTTTTCGGTTGTAAAAAAGTGAATTCATGTTACTCAGCTATGATATTTTCTTCTTCTTTAAAAAATTCTTTGACAGTTTTTATTTTTTGCATAGTTGAGATCATGAGTCAATTGAAGCTAGACCACCAACGAAAACCTGGAAGCACTGAACGGCCGTTTCATCCTATTTTGGGACTCCTCAGCAGTGCGCATCCATGATTCCGCTTCGCGAGATTCCAACCAAGGACTTACCAGTCTCGCGCCAGAGCACTTAACCGATAGACCACTGAGCTGGCCGTCATCCAACGACGTTAATATCTAACTTCAACTAATCCACGAAATTGAGCAACCATTCACCGATTGTCTTCAGTGAGTTGATATCTCCCAAAAGACTTTTTTGAACTCCACTTGTTACTGCTTCTCACTAAAACTCGTGGATGTGCACTGCCACTGAGGAGTCCCATAATAGGATGAAACGGCCGTCAAGCAGTGCTTCCAAGTTTTCCATGCTGGTCTAACTTCAATTGGCTCATGATCTCAACTATACAAGAAAAAAAAACTAAAATCTCTACAAAACCCCCTTCTAATAGTTTTTATATGTCAACTTGAGTCGATTCAATATAAATGTCAAGTTCTACATCACTTATAACTATGCTCAATAAGTTCCTAAGATTCAATCATTATGAATAAGATTCAAATAGTAAACATGTAAATGCTCCAAAAATTAAAAAAAGAAGAAGGGAGACATGGATATTCATGTCTATATTAGATATTTACAATGTAAACTATACATCAATTTAGAACTTCTTATTGAATGTTTACTATGTCTTATAAGATTATACAATAGATATAGATAAATATATCAATGGACAATTAAATCCTATAGAATATGATATAACATTATCATCATCATAAAAATCAATAGACAAATCATAAAAAGGAGGAAACATTTTTTTTTAGAAATAATCACTAACTGATATATATCCAGCCATGTTGTATACTAAAAAACATAAATAGTACCTATCCATTGAAATCTTGTCCATCATAATGTAATGTATAGATTATACCAGTTATCTTTACTAGTTAGGTATATGGGATATATGTATTTCGTTTATTATAAACAAAATGATTCGTCAAAATAATATCTATTCCATAATATAGATATACTGAGAAAGTGACAGTTACATACATAAATAGACAGACAGAGAGAGGTATATTACGCTTAAAACGTATCCCATTGAGCGATATATAAGAAGAATGAAAACAAAACCAATAAAGAAGAAACAGAACAAAACAACAAAACTGATGACATACAATTAAAAAAAAAACCCAATATGTTTCATGTATGGTACTTCCAAGACAAATGTCATTTATACTTACTTCATATTTCAGAACAGAATACACATATAAAGACAAAAGAAGGAATCGAACAAATGAGTACAAAATGAAAAAGTAATGTGTATGTAGAAGTCGATTTTTATTATTTTTTTATTAGCATGGATACAATTACATACATACATACATACAAAATATGATCAATATTCATGGTAGTAACGATGAACAAAAAAAATCAATCATCTGGTGAAAACAAACAATACCGAACTACTTTACTAATATGTAAATGAATAAACATATATAAGAAGAGACTCCTGAGGACTTGACACAATGGAAGATAAAGAACCTTGTTTATATTTGATATTATTGTGATGATAAGTAGATATGACACATAGACAAGATATATATATATAAAGACAAGTATGTGTTTGTTCTTACCCGGAAAGAGATGAAGAAAATAAAGTAAACACATGAATAATACAAAACAAATAATCTTGTATATATATATCAGTAATTAAACTGAATAATACATGTGCTAGGAATCTCCATAAAAATCGACGGTCAAGAAGTAATATTTTCTTAATGTATGTTAAACAGAAGTACATCAAAATGGAATAGAAAAAAAAAGCCTACGGACAAATTAATCCTACACACATATAAAACTATTCTTCAAAAAAAAAAGAAGAAATTACCCTACTTATTTGATGCTCATCAGATTTAACAAAAGTCTCTAACATAAGTGATGTATACAAACATACACATTCGTGAGAGAATCAACACTATCATGACACTGACGGTGAGGAAGAAAAGTTACCTACATACTACACCATCGTGTACAAGCGCGTCCCAGCTTGGTTGACCAGAAAAATCTCAAGAAATAAAGTAAACAAAGAAAATAATGACAAGATGCGAAAAAAAAGTCCAACAGTAACCATGACAAATAAACAATTCTAATCTACGCCAAAACATGTACACAAACAATTAATGGAGTTGTTTGTTATGCAACGTTACACATAAAAAAACTTTTTTCGTTAAATTATACCTTTGGTTGCCATGGTGTTTTGTTGAATACAAAGCAGTCAAACAGTTTACCCCCTAACCCTACAAAAAAGGAGAACTCCTATACATTTTCAACAAAAAAAAATCAGAAAATTTAATTGAATAGAATTCTTTTTTTAAAAAAGAACAGCAGAATTTTTACATACAAAGTGTGTGTATCTATTAAAATTGAATAAATAAGCAAAGAAGTAGACATTCATGGGATAATCACAAAAAACAATGACCTTTACATAGACACTTCTGTGTAGAACATGCACAAAAAAAACAAAATTGTAAAAACGGAAATACGAAAAAATTGAGAAACATAATCGATCAAAGCTTTCACACAAGAACAACTACATAATCGATCAGTCAATTATCCCCCCTTTATTTCTTCTTTTTGTTCTCCATGGATATCGATTAAGATTTGAGAATATGTTTAGTAGGAGAGAGAAAATCAATACATCATTACCTATCATCTATAAGAACTGTAATTATTAAGATCAAGTAAAGGTATAGGAGTTTTGCTTATTATTATTAAAAAATATTTGGATATAAATTGACATGAAATGTTATATTCTTAAAAAGAACAGAGGTGTTACAATCGTAAAGGGGGGAGGATTTATTTGAACTATATATATACCATAGAAACTAACGAACTGGTATGAACAGATATCAGCCAAGATCTAAAATATAAAAAAACAAACAGACAAACAAAAATAACCATGTAAAAAAAGATTTTTATTACCACTCTATGAACCTATCTTTTCTTTTCCTTTGAAAAGAGAACTAAAAAACACAACAAAGTCAAATAAATAAACAATTCTGAATATGAATAAGAGATGGGATAAAGTAGGGGGGCGGAAAAAAAACAATGAACAGATTGTTAGGATGGAAGGAAGGGACCCCCGGAACACGATGTAATGAATGAAAAGAATCATGAAGAAGAAACAAACTGAATGAACACATATATATATATGTAGATGTATCTTTATATGTATATATATATTTACACATTGATTATAATTGGTGGTTGTTGTTAAAGTAATTACCCAAAATACAGAACAATGTTATGCAACATAACTACTACTAATTCTAAACGTTAAAAATAAACATAGCCAAACGGGGAAAAAAAGAAACAGGATTGTATCTATGAGGTAAACTTCTTGTTATTTGGAATTATATTAATCAGAAGACAAAAAAGAAGGAGAAAATGATGGAAGAAGAAGAGTTTTAAAGTTTTGGAAACAATAAACAATACCCGGACACTTTGTTGTCGGGTTGTTTTAATGTTTATTACTTTGGAAGAAAAAAAAGAACAATCGGGAAGATAAAAAATGATAACCAGGTCAGTATATATTTTGTAATGAACAGAGTGAGAGAGAGAGAGAAAGGGAGAAACGAGGTTAACTTTGTTTAATATTAAACAACCATAACAACAAAATAGTATGGTGTGATTTGGTTGGTCTCCTTTAGTTGTGGGCTTTTTTTCTAAACATACACATACACATAAAGAAATTAAAGTAGTTCGACGAGTGGTTGGGCGCAAACAGAAAGAGAGAGAAGAGGTGGTGGTACTACTATCCTCACAAGAAATAATTAATTAGTCAATAGAAAGATGATCAAGTGATGCTAATGTTGAGGCTCGTCAATGAAATGACTGTGTGCAGGATATATATCAAATGACAAGAAATAATTACACTATGAATTTTGTTATGTGGATTTTTGTGCAAATGTTTATCTCTATCTATTTATCCATCTAGTGTACTTCACTCAAATTTGTCCGTTGTTCAGAAGCGTTTGGATGAGTAGGAGGAACAAATGATTTTAAGTGTACATTTGTAGTAATGCTATTATTATTATTAATATTGTTTTCATTATCATTGCAACAGACATCGGGATTTTCTATTTGGCTTGGACTACCAACATTAACTGTTGTCCCCGTCCCGACTTTTGTTGTATCGATTGAACTTTTAAGATTATTCTCATTATTAGTTCGATTGTGCTGCTGCTGTTGTTGTTGTTTACTCGAAGCATCATTATTTACACCATTAGTGTTCCCAGTTAATTCGTCAGATTTCGATTCCAGGTTTGGATGACTACCACCACCACCACCACCACCAGGACCACCAATAACTGATCCACATTTTTCTGATGAATTATTAGATCCGATAGCTCGACCTAAATAATGAACAAAGAAACCTAAAATTAGGAGGTACGACTTATATGAATATGAAAATACTTATCGTTTGTTGTTTAAATAGTGGCTTCATGATTAGGTCGTTAGAATTTCAGCTACTAAGTACTAGGTTTGCATTCAGCTTGATCAACTTCGGTTTAGGTAACCGGGTAATGACATTGGCTCATACCCAAGCACGTGGTGAATGAGTGGATCAACAAATAGGACAGGACTATGCAGTCTGTGTATTTCAAGCCGATAAGTAGATCTCTAGGTTAACCCCTAAATCGTCAGATGATGAGAGCCTTATCACTAGAAGAATATTTATGACGAAGTTCGATAAAAATGGAGAAAGTGGACAGCCTTGACTATTCTGATAACAACTCAACAACAACAAATGGCATATGAACTTATTGTTAGCCACCGGCTACCATGGGATTGCATCTCTTGACGTTACTCTACTGCCTTGTTGATTAGACTTCTTGATCAAAAGCTCGGGGAGTGACCCCCTAAGAAAACCATCTGCTTCGGTTTGGGCACCCGGACAGTATTCCAGTCCTCAAACAAATCATTTGACATGTGTGGTGCACATAAATTTAGTGCCTCCTTGTACTAAAGTTTATGTGTTTTAATAAATAAACAAATAAACACCAACGTAGAATCTAACACGTTTGCATCGGTACAAGTGACCACATATCATATAGCACGGTAAAACGAATATTCCTAAGAGAAAGAATGTATTCCCAGAAAAACGTATTTTCAAGTTAAACATTGATTAACTATTAAACGATAAAAACATGTTTATTTATCAGCATTAAAAACATACCTTTTCGCTGCCAATCAGCAGGAATTTCTCGAGAATTTGATGGTGGTTTACAGTTTTTCTTATCGGGACCTTGCAAATCACTGGGGGTCGATTTCTTGTTGGATGAACCATGCTTATGATGATCTGGCAACCAATTGTTATATGCTGATAAATTTGTTCCATCAGTTACTGATGTAGGAGGATTAGGTTCGGGATCAGGATCAAAGATATGTGGAGGCATACGAACTCTGTTCGAAAGTACTCCATGTGGACCGACAGAACGAAGTTCGTCAAAACATGGTTCGGAAAGAGCTTGAGATGGCAAAATTCTTAATGACGGATTATAAACAAGCATTTTACTCATTAGAGCCAACAAATCGGCTGGAGTATGCTGTGGGAAAAACAGTTTTACAGGGCAAGATTGAACATCTGGGAAGCTGTAAGATCCATACATTGGATTCATACTGGCAATATCCTGTGGAGTAGGAGTGCCTAAAACGCGGATAACTTTAACCAGTTGATCTACTGAATCAGCTCCCATGAACAAACAATGTTGACGTAGCATTTCAGCAAGTACACACCCCCCACTCCAAGTATCGATCGCACAAGAATAGTACTGAGCTCCAAATAATAACTCCGGAGCACGATAATACCTAAACGATAGAACAAACATTCGATAATAAGGATATAAACGCAGAGATTCATTTAGTAAGAATTTCAAGCAAGAAAATACCGATTAGTATTGTAACTAAGACTCACACGAATGATGGTACATTAGGGCACCGAAAAAAGGTGACGGCAGGTTAAGTGATAACTTAGTGCGGAAGATAAGGGAAGGTCGTACAATCCATAAATACATGTACAAGAATGTCCCTTTAAACAACTCGTGTAAATACAGTTTAGGAAGAATTTTTCATCTAAAGAACTTCATTTTTATGAAGAATGTAATAGAATAATTACTAGACTCTAGTCTGAGTACTACAGTGATTTGCCATCATCGTAGTGTTGATGTTCTAGATGTGAAAGATCCAAAGTTCTAGATACATTTCATTTACAACTGATTGATCACTAAGTTAATGACAATATTCATGTTTGTCCAGCCCTTTAGTGCTATTAATCAAGTTGCATGTGTCTACTAAACTAAGCGATTCGATATTGCTCGCTCTATTTCAAGATGTTAAGTGCTTGGAGGAAACCCTATCGACTATTTTCAACCACGTAATATATTTTGTTTGGATCAAACTTCTGAACTGCTTTTAAGGATCATATATATAAATCAAACGTTTTGCATATAGAAGTGGATATTACAAAAGAAGTGTTTTAATTATTTGGTTCTCCTAAAAAGATAAAAACAGTGAAAACATTTAGGATTTTAGAGCTTATAGTAGTCTTTTGATGTATATGAAAAATAAAGAGTAACAGAACACCAAGTAGTCAATGAAACACGAACGATTAAGACAATAAGGGGCCTACTTAAAGTTCTACTATGCGATAGTACCCAAGCCGTGCAATCCGCATTTAATCAGTTGGCAATCCACGTCTATAGATACGGTATGTGCTTCGTACCTTCGAAGTGCAAAGTATTTTTACAAGACTAGTAGGACCTTGATCATGTACTCACCCTGGGTAGTGAGCATATAGAAGTTAGTGTATCCAGGTAGCTGCATAAGTGCTGGTGGTGGCGTGAGTGATGAGATCAATTCACGTATAGTAAAAGCGGTGGTTAGAGACGTTAACAGCTATGGCTCAGAATAGAAGCCAGTGGCGATTCCACCGTAACTTTATTTTTCTTCATAAAAAATTGAACGTAACTTCTTTAATTGAAAGAACGCTTTCTGGTTGTACCTTTGCTAACTGAACTGCTTCTACCATTATAATTATTATTTCACGATTATACACTAATTTCTGTTCGTTAATGTCCCCCTTTTTCTTATACATACCTTACATTCTCTATCTCTTTACATTCTTATTTTTACTGTGTGGTGCGTATGTATTTGGTGTCCTTCTGTACCAATATTTATGTTCAAATAAATAAGTAAATATTTAAAGTACATCACTGCTATATCGATTTTAGAATGCTACATACGTACGGATACAATTCAGTATCTGGTAGAACCATTCAAAGTACTTATCAGATAAAACAAAAAAGAAGTAAAATTTTGGTAGTACATACTTAGGTGCATATGCATTTGTAAAAAGGACGAATATAAACTAATCAAGTTATTGGACATTTTAAAACTAGGTATTCCTGATTGAAGAATTTCACATGAGGATAGAAACATTATTTTGTTTCTCAACATAAATGAACTATTAGGCATGTTTGATGCGTCGTCAATCTGAGCAACATTTATGTGATGATTATCAAAGAAATGAACACTATCGAAAAACTACGAGTGCTACATATTCATTTATTTTGCTTTGACTGAGTAATAGGATTACTGGATTTAGTCTTTGAGTGCAAACGTATTTACACTAAAACCAGATACCATGATCCACTATTTCAGATTTTATTTATTTATTTGAACACATAAATATTGGTACAAAGGGGTACCAGATACATATGCGACATACAAATCTCATTTGATTTGTGTTAGGGCTGTGATACTGCCAAGGTGCCCAAACTGAAGCAGGTGGGTTTTTTTTAGGGGGCCACATCCGGAGCTTTTGACCTAAAGGTCTGATCCATAAGGCAGTGGAGCATCGTGAGGGGATGCAGTCCCATGGTAGCCGGTGACTAGAAAGACAGTAATAAATATCGATATACAAGTGGAAAAGAGGAAGAATGTACCACATAATTGATATGATATTGCTTTGATAAAATGAGATGAGAGCAGAAATAGTAATATCAAAGGGTATGGTACAAATTACAACGTGGACAATATAAGCCTTATTACGATAAAAAAAATTAGTAAAAAGCAGTACCAAAGATAATAAATGATAACGATTCAGGGGAAGAGGAGTGTTTGATGGTGTTTTACTCATCATACTGAGAGATGCTGACCAAAGAAAATTCATTGCCATGATATAAAATAAATGTTGTTTGGATGGAGATAAAAGTGTTTTGAAAATTCCCATAATTGCTTATTACATATGAACTTGGAGAACTTTTTGATTTTGGTTATTGAAACCATCAACAACAAAGAGAAAAATATAATTTAACAGTTATTATCAAATGAACACTGGATGAATATAAGCATCGTGGAGTAGTGGATAAAACAAGGTTGTAAGAACATTTTAGATGCAATTAGAGAATTACAAACTGATTGAAATTAACAAGACTGGTAAATTTGTAACACGCAATACATCAAATACTGATGTCATTGAAGGTAGTGATTGAATGTTATTCTAACCAATGTATCAGTTGACTTGAGGGATTCAAACGATTTATCTTTGGATCAGTTTCAACAGCTGACTATCTGTAAGCAGTGAGAATCCTCTTAAGATAACTCAAAAATGTTTGACATGACAAACACCTAAATCGATCACTCACAACGTAGAACTCATACGTATGTACATTGGTTCAAGTTGCCATGGCCCATTAGCACAGCCAAATCAAATACCAGAACAGTAGAGGTAATAACAGTATGAGTGGTGATTGAAAGGACTAAGCATAAAAGACACGATTCAAGAAAACATAAACTAGCGAAAAAATATGAGGGATTTAGAAGCTTAGAATATGGGATGAGTGAGTGGAATTGCGTCATTCAGAATGATCTTGAGCCATGTCATTTAATTTTCAACCACTTCTCACGATAATCACGCGAACCCCAACCAGGTTGTAATCTATACCTATTAACATGATTTAGTTGACAATGACTTCATGAATTGATATCATGCTTTTGTTTGGCTTCCCTTCCTTCTAGCCAACTCCCAACACCAGACAATATCGTCAGTCGAAGTACGTGATGGTTGAACATACATACATACATGTTCCAACCACTTCAGTTGATGAAAATTTACTACCTCATCAATCTATTTCCCATCCTTACCTAGTACTCTATTCATAACCCGGTGGTCCCAAACTAAACGGACTATGCTTTTAAAACACCTATGATCGAAAACTAGTAATCAACGAATATCCTGTCCCTGATGATCATGTTTCACACTCATGAAGTACGACAGAGCGAACTGCTAGGCAGTAAACTCGCCCTTTAGTCAGCAGACGAATATGTCGCCTACGCCACAAATGACGCAAGCCGACGAAAATCCAAGCTTTAGGATTGAATTTACCAAACACTTTAATTGTCTAAGTTAACAGTAAATACCAGGTGAAGATTAAGATGTGTCCTTATCTCCTTTAGTTAAATAACTTTACTAGATAGAGCTTCATCCCAAATATTTTATTTGAACCTAAAGGTTATTCCCAATAAATAAGGGGTACTTACCGATGAACAAAGTACAATGTTTTTGAGCTTAAGCAATGCTGACTAGTTTTTGGGACGGTTGAAAGTTAAGAGTAGCCAAACCAAATCGTGGGATCAGTCACTGAAGTCACTAACTTCTAATCTGAGCCATGTTGGTAGATGCAGACTATTTGGTTGGGGTCCGCATTACTATCGTAACCGATGGTTGGAGGCTGTGTGATATGGCTCAGAATCGATCACAATGGCGTAGGTGTATACACTCTCATATCTTTCTTTTTGTTGTACATCCTTATATACAATCTTTCTTTTATATATTACCACCATTAAACTAACTACTTCTATGAATTCTGTGTTCATCTTGTGCTAGTGAGGAATGGCAACTTGGACCGACGTTTATATGTGCCTGGTCCTATGTTATAGCTGACTGACTGACTTTTGAGTTTAATCCATTGATTTCGGATAGAGATACTAGTCGATTTACAGAGAGTATAGGAAAAGGAATTAATAGATCTTTGAGAAACCATGAACGGAAAGTTGGCCAATGATATGTGCTTTACACCCACAAAACACAAGTTGGTTGTGCGGATATCGCTGACTAGTTTAGCTGCTTGAATCAAAGTTTTGGATTATAGTTTTGTATGACTTATCAAGGTTGAATCAGTCATTAAATATTACGATCTTCAAAAAACATGGCTCGACCTAATCTGGTATGTGCATACATTTAACTTGGAGTTGTCAAAATGAAACATTATTGGATTACTAAAATCAATATTGAACAACGCATAATATTTAACTGAAACTAGTCGGGCATAAATTTTAGTGAGTTAATTTAATTTTTCGAACCACAGTCACTAGATGAGAATCCTGGACCTTTATCCAAGTATATACCATATTCTCCAATGTTCAATCATTTTCAATATATGACCTACAATATTATTTATTTGGACTGAAGCTATTCTTTATGCTAATTTCATCTCACCGTACTGGTACTGTATGGCAACTTCAGCAAACTCATATTTATACTGAACTATGTTGATTATAAGTGACTGACCTCTTCAAGTATAGAAGTTTGGTAACCAGTTAGCGTTCTTATAAGAATACCTCTAGTGTATTCAATTACATAAACTTACAAGTGATCAATGAGGTATATTTGTTTGGTTATTCAAACTGCAGATAAACTTTTAATGTTTACTTCATCTAAAAACGAATTAACACTTAATATCAACTATTGATAACTCAAACTTACACATACACACACATGCACAATCATTCGTTTATTTATCTTCACA